GATGTCTTGGAACGTAACCCTTGCGGTGGACGAGGGACCGTTTGTGATTAACTTTTTTTAATCTAATTATTTTGTGAAATGAAATGAATCATTTAAAATTTTTATTGCATTTCAAGGCGAGAGCACAATGACCATCAATTCTACTTTCTCCACTTTCTATCTTTTTGTCATAGCTTAGAAACTGAGATCAATGATGTGACCTGGTTATCAGTACCTGATACTTGAACACCGACGTCCTTTCTGTTCGTCTCCTCCTTGTGCCTTTGACTTTGACTCCAATCCACAGTTCTTTCACCATAAATGACAGACCTCGCACTAATGACCTGAGTGGGTTTTTGTTTTTTCCTCCCAGGCCTTGAAATGACTTGATGCTCGACCGCCTGTCATTCATTTTCATAATGATTCCTTTGGTCTGTTGCCTAAATCACAGCAGTTGTTGTCTTGACCTCCCGACGGCCTCAGGTCGCCGTCTGTCACTGAAACTCCTCTCCTTTTTGTCGGCCCTGCAGAGGATGACGATTGTTTTGACTCTTAGTCTGCGGGCTATTAACCCGGGGCATTTGCTAGCACCATCCAGTTGCCATGGTGACGCCGTGGTGATAGAACATGTGCACAGGTGTGTCACGACAGATGCTGCAGAGCTGGGGGAGGAAACGGAGGTCGTTGCCGCCCAGTTGAGCACAGCACGGTGGAGCGGCGGCGGTGGAGCGAGCGAGAATCGTCGGGCTTTGAACCCTGACGTTCTGTTTCTCTAACAAATGATCTGAGGCTGCATTTGTTCCTCCTCCCGCTGCAGAAAGTTGGATCTCGTTCCCAACAAAGAAAAACTTTAATCTTTTATTTTCCGTCACGGCTGAGAGAACACAGATGATTTCACCCACAGTGGGCGCCGATGTGTGATCCTCATCTCGGCTCTGTCACAGCTCTGACTGTCAGTCCACTGACTCCATCTGGTCTAGAGGCGTCGCCGCCGACTCTGAGCAGCAGAACCTCTCCTGTCCTACTGTCTGGAGCCATCAATCACTCTGGAATTCTTTTTTTTTTTTTACAGAAAACTAAAAATTGTAATCACAACAATTTTTCTTCTGCTTCTCTTTTTTTTTGAATCACATTCTGTTCAAATGATATCAAAAAAAAAAACATATTACTTTTTGTCAGCTTTACTCCATTTTTTTGTCATATCAGTGCCAACTCAGGATTAATTGCTGTTCCCAAATACTTTTGACAGCAGCTGCTGGCCATCCATTTATTGGCTGGGTAGTCTGTGTGTTTTGAACGAGCCGGGCTGTGTTGCCAGATCTTGTGAGGAAAAACGAGCAACAAGGTTGAGTAAAAACAAGCCCAAATGTAGCAACCCACACAAAGTCCCTTCAGCTTCATGGGAAACGATAGATAGTCTGATATATTTATACATGTCAGTACATTCACATATGTGTTTTCACTTAACACAAAAAACCTGGACTTGTAAAAAAATACAAGAAAATACAAGAAAGTGAAAAGATGTAAAAAATACGACTGATCTTCTTTCTTTCATTCTGTATGCATAAACTGAAGTCAATTTCGTTTTGTTTTTTTTTCTCACAACAAATGATTTTTTTAACACAATTTGGGAGACAAGCATGCCATTTTAGGTTGACATTTTATTTTGAAAAGCCTTTACGGTTCTTCCCCACTTGTGGTCGTTGATTTACTTTAAGCGTAAATAAGTCGCTTGTAATAATTGACCTTGTCGACCAGCGAGCTTTTTGAGTAAACAAGGTCTTTTAAATTATAATTTATGAAGCGATTGTTTGATTCTCAGTCGACGTCCATTTCAGCTGCATTTCTAACGGCGTCTGTCATTTTCTAACGGCGTTTGTCATCTGGTGTCCTCTGACCCTCCTGTTCCTCCGTTTCCTCCTCAGATGTACATCCAGACGGCCACGTTGACCGTCTCCCTCAGCCTCAGCGCCTCCGTCTCTCTGGGAATGCTCTACATGCCAAAGGTCTACATGATTATCTTTCATCCTGAGCAGAACGTTCCCAAACACAAGCGCAGCTTCAAGGCCATCGTCACCGCCGCCACAATGACCAGCAAGCTGTCGCAGTTGGCAGCCGAGCGACCCAACGGCGAGGTGAAGACGGAGCTGTGTGAGGGCGTGGAGGCCGCTGGTGAGTAGAGAAAGACGGATGGACTGATGGACGGATGGATGGACAGATGAAGACACGCCGGGTGTCCTTCTACCTGTTGTGCACACATTTGTCATCATCAGAGCCAGTGTGTGGCTGAACTGAAGAATGTTGTGTTCATTTTTCCTGTGACCCTTTTTTTACTAAGATGAAAATGTGAGACTTAGTGACAAAATTAACTGAAAAACAAAATAATTTAAAAATCTGTCATGGGACACAGGAGGAGCAAAGAGGTCAAAGGCCAATCAGAGCTACGTTTGTTGGTTAGAAGGCAGGACATCGAAACGGAAATTCAATAGTGGGGCGGGGCCCCCTGGCGGTGGCACGGTGCGGTACCAGGGGGGGGCGTGAGGGGCGTTCAGTGGAATATGGCACGCTGGACATAAGTGTACCACTGCTGAATGATAACAAGCCTCCAGTCACTAGGTGGCAGCACCTCATACAGTGGTTTGTACATGTTATCAGGTTCTCAATAGTATTTCAATTCAGGGAGGGCGTGAAAACATTTCTGTCCTCAAGGGGGGGCATGAGAAAATAAATTGAGAACCACTGATATAATAAGATTTAATGGAAAATAATAGTGTTTTTTAGTTTACATTGAACCTTGTTTTTTTGTTTCATCTACGAGTTTTGAGAAACTCGATTTTGAGACTTCGATTTCTTTTTTTTTTTTCCATGGCCTCTGAAATGATTCAGGTTCAAGTGAATCTGAAATTGTTTTGCTGTGATTTGTTGTGTTAAATGTTAAAAGCTACGCTTAAAAAAATGTTCCTGTGTCAGCAGAAATGTTGAACTCTTTACTCATCACAGGTTCCCTGGCGGAGGCGTCCTTCCCCTGCCACAATCTTACAAAAACAGTCTGTCCTTTAGCCTTAGCTCCTCAGATTAGCTGAAGGCTAAAGCTCATCACTTTGTGTTCAGAGGAGAAGTGCATTTTCACTGTTTATTTTTCCATTCCTTTTTCCTCTTCTGATGATGTTTCTTCTCCACACAGTGCCACCAGCAAAAACAACCTACGTCAGCTACACAAACCACGCCATGTGAGGGCGCACACCCCCTGAACGAGGCCTTCCTAAACAGGAAGTCAGGTGCTTTGACAAACTGAGCAACGGAGCGACAAAGTAAATGAACCAAAAAAAAACTGGTTGGATCTTGAGCAGCACTCAAACCTTCAAACACTAAACAAACACAATCATTTGAAGAGGCCATGAAGAAGAAGAAGAAGAAGAAGAAGAAGAGGAAAACAACAGGTAACGTTGAAAACTTGAAAGGTAAAAAAAAAAAAAATTGTGGGTAACGTTGAAAAGTTGAAAGGTAAAAAAAAAAAAAATTGTGGAGATCAAAAATATTTGTTGTTATTCTAAATGTACATTCAAACAAAAAAACCAAAAAAATATATTTGTGGAAATTCCTGATTATTGTCTCATGTCATTGCATCATGGAGTCGGTCCATCACTGTTTCGGCGAAATGAACCGTAGCTTTTGTGAATCGTGTAAATGCAACCGTTGACCTGAAGCATGCTAGTTTTTATACAAATGATCTATTTGTAATAAAAGGAATGTTTCACACGTCACTGTCACCTTTGGGTTGATTTGACCAAGACAAGAACTGGAGAGTAGATCATCACTGGAGTCCCATGGTTCCATGCATACTCTGAGCCAGGGGTCTCAAACTTCAGGTTCGGGGGCTACCTAATGAACCACGAACCCCACCCAAAACCGGCCCGCACCTAAATGTTGATGATTTAAATTTTGAAACTTGAAACTTGAACCACTACAATATAAATACTGTAGTATTGATGCAGCAGACAGTGGTTTTAGGTGGATAGTTTAATAGATTTTAATTTATGACCAAATCTTACGACTTGGTCACAGAGAAGTTCTTAGAGTTTATGCTGTAAACTGTGTGTCCCAAGACAGAAAATATTTTCTTTTCAAAACCAGAGAGAAAGGGAGAAATAAGATGTGAGTTATTTGTCCTGGACAAAGAGAAACTCAGTAGATCTCCGACCCAGAATGAACCTGCTGCAGAGCGAGAAGTTCAGAGAAACTCCATCTGTGCGTAAGCCGACCTTTAGCATCACGAGATCCAGAGTCTTGCAGGAAACATAGCACAACGCGCTATCCCCATTACGGACTTTCAAAAATACACAGCCCGTGTGTGTGATCAATACCCGCTGTGGAACAGGAGAGGCCGGATCGATACGAGCTGCTGCAGAGAATTCCTCATGCGTGTAATGAATATTTCTGCGTCTCCTGCAAGAAAAGTGGAGGAAGACGAGGTACAGAGTGGGAAGAGAGACGTCCAAAGACGAGACTTTTCCACCTTGAATTTGCCTTAATCTAAAGGAACAGATGCGACAAGAAAGTCTGATGAAAAAAAAACCTGCTGCAGAAATGTTCTAAAGTGGAGGTGGAGGATGTGTAGGAGCAGCCGTCAACCGCTTTGTTTCATTTTTTGTGATTTTTTACCAGAGTTGTTGCAAATTATATAATACAGGAAAACACTGTGGTTAACACTGGCACAGAGTGGGAAAGGCTCAACGTACAAACTAAACGCAGCCTGAACTTCAGACTCCGTGGCTGATTATGGCTGACCTCTGGTCAGTCTGTCAGAAAGTCTCATCTTAAGCCTCCATCCAGACCCGACCGGCAGCACTCGTCCTGTCTGCCTCGCTCTGAGGGAGAACGGTCTGAAACTGAAATGTGACAGATCAGCCCAGAGACTGTTCCAGAACATTTGGCAGCACACGCTGGTTAGAGTTTATGGAAGCTTGTGCCAGGAAGTGATCGGCTCCAGAGTGGGCACTGCCAACATAATCAACACAAGCAAAATTAAATTTATCCCAGGGAGGAGTCCAGCAGTACAATCACCAAACCAAAGAGGAGAAAACAAAGCTGCAGCTCCAACTCAGCCCAGAAACTCCTGACTGAAATGTTCATCACGACAACGGAACATGAACATGAACATGAACATGATCAGACAATGTCTGGTCTCTGACGTCATCTCTCCAATCTGATAGGACTGAGACATCCATCTACCTGACCATCCATCCACTCGTCCATCCATCCATCCATCCATCCATCCAAAGAGACCCTGCTGTTTGTTCTAATGTCTAGACAGAGGCTAATGCTACAGTTACTGAATCCACCGCAGCTTGATTGAACCCATGTGCTGTCCTTCACATCCTTCACTTCATGACAGGCAGATTTGTTAAAACATTATGAAGTTTTATAGAATAATTGGCCGCGGGGCCCCCTGCAGCATCGATGTGAAAGTGCTGGGTAATGAGGAAAACCTACATTGTGTCCATCAAGGAGCCAATTAGGCTGACGGAGCAGGATCCTCCACCTGTGAACACTGGTTCAACTGAAGCAGAAAACCAAACAGTCGGTGCACAGTCAGTGCAGTCTACGGCTACAATCACCTGAGATTTCTGTCATCGTGGGTTTTTGTAGTTTGCTCATGTTGTATTTTACGTCGGTCTATTTTTAGTCCTAGTGTTTTGGGTTTTTGGTTTTCCATCTATGGGTGGATGTAGTAGCTGGAAATCAAGATTAGTTTTAATTTGTTAAAAAACAGGAGAAATATTCTTATTAACTAAAACTTTCACCTGTCCCATGCTGTACCTGTGTGGATCACATTTGGTCTGAGGACCACCGGTTGAACAACAGTTATTTTGACAGGTATATTCTGGTGTTTTTGTTGATCTAAATCTGATTCCGAGACTTTTTTTGTCTCGGTGAAAAGAGGAACAAAAATGTTGTGATGACATTTTTTTTCTCAGTTTTCCCTCGTTTTTCATAAAACCACACACAACCAGGTCCAGAGAGACGACCCACTGGGTGTGGCGTCAACTGGTACCACTGTACGCCTACTGTCGCAGCAGAATTCACGTGCAATGGTCCTTTAAAATGGACAATAACGTGTGTTTTTCTGAAACCAGGATCCAAATTCAACCTAATAACGGCCGTGTAATAACGGAGAACTTTAGTTTCACCATGCAGCAGCAGCAGCAGCAACAGCAGCAGCAGCAGTAACAGCAGCAGTAACAGCAGCAGCAACAGCAGCAGCAGCAGTAACAGCAACAGCAGCAGCAGCAGCAGCAGCAACAGCAACAGCAGCAGCAGCAGTAACAGCAGCAGTAACAGCAGCAGCAGCAGTAACAGCAGCAACAGCAGCAGCAGCAGCAGCAGTAACATCAGTAACAACAGCAGCAGCAGCAGCAGCAGCAACAGCAGCAGCAGCAGTAACAGCAACAGCAGCAGCAGCAGTAACAGCAACAGCAGCAGCAGCAGTAACAGCAACAGCAGCAGCAGCAGTAACAGCAACAGCAGCAGCAGCAGCAGCAGCAACAGCAACAGCAGCAGCAGCAGCAGCAGCAGCTCCTCGTGAGTTCTGACACACAAGGAATGTTTATTTTTAGCCTCACAGCGTCACTTCACAGTTTGTGTGTGTGTGTGTGTGTGTGTGTGTGTAGGTTTTAATTGGCTTGACTTCAGTCCCAGGTGGCCACAGAGCTGCAGTCACACTCTGGGCTACGTGGAGAAGTGGAGGACGCG